CCAGGTGGGCCAAATGTACAGATGGACACGGAATCAAACTCAGGTTATCACGCATCTTGCCCATTGACGATTGTTGTGGTTATTATTAATTTATATACAACCAACTCCGGATAAATTGTGGTCTCTAAAACGTGATAATGCATAGTCCAGCATACAGATACCGAACAGATATATCCAATCCTATTCATGTTTATTATATTCGGCAAGTCTAGATTACAAAAGTTTTAAATGAATAAAGTCTCATGGCTCCTTTTTATCATATTTTACAAACATATTTTAACAACTGTATTTTCTGTAAAATATGTTCATTGCAGAGACTAGATATTAGTCTAATCGCAATAAGTATTTCTCATGTTGAACTATCATCATCGAAGGAAAGAGGTGGGGCGTGGGTTTCGTTTTCTCTGATGATAAAAACGTAATACTTCCTACTTCCGGGGCTGTAAAATATGCGTTTGTTGATAGAAAGGCCAAAACATAATTCAACGGTAAGAAGATCCCTGCAATAGCCGACCCCAACCCGTTCAAACAAGATTTACATTTAGATAGAGTGTACATACTCTCTGGCTCTGTGAGACGACATTTAACCCGCGGCTTAGTCTAAGGGACATGTGGGAAAGCAATAGCCGTTTCAGCCCCGCTCCAGATGTGTGAATCAGTAGACATAGGTATGTGTACCCCCCTCTTGCTGTGTCTCCGCGAGGATACATCTGGGAGGCTGATTCCATTTACATGCCATCACTTTAACGTAACATTGCGTAACGTTCTGAGCTTATTTCTCTATCTGTCTACCTCAAACCCGGTCGTGACTAATTGTTCGTACTTTTTGTACGGAAAATCAAGAAACAGCTAACGAAACAATCTGGTTCAAGAGTTCGTAAATTACTCTCGCGCCAGATTACTGAGCATTCGCGTCACTGTTTACCATATTTCATTCAGATGTGCTACAACAGACTGGATAGCCGCCGGTTATGGTTCTTGAAAAACGTTCTTTAGGAGTACGGTTTTCCTGAGGTCTGCGACTTATTTGGAAACGCTTATTTCCAGACAAAAGACTATTGATGATCTCGGCATCGACCATTCAGGTCACGTCGACCCGATTAAGTACGAAGGCGCGCAGCGTTCACGAATGACATAACCAGGCGCCGCAATTTGTCTTTACGATATACAGGAAAGAATCTCTGTTTTTTACGAGCTCAACAATGTGTTTTGTGAGAGAATGTGAAAGGAAGGGGATGCAATCCCGTAAAAAATGTATCCATCTTTCTCCGGCTGAGCACATCACGCAATATTTGACATATTCACAAAGCCTTGGGCAGTTAGATTTCTGTATATTTGCACAGAGAAATGCTGAAAGTCGATTTTAAATGTGAGCGTTTCTTAAAGACCATTATAAAGTATTAACGACGATGTTGAGAATGGCATTGACGGATAGGGTCAATACCATTTCGGGATGGCAACTCGATCACAAAAGAGTTTCCACCAACCGCTGATTACACGGCATCTAGTCCAATCTCAATGCATCTTTGTGATAGGTGATCCACAATCTAAAGTCGCTTATCTCCAAGCAATTAACTCCATATTTGTGATAGGTGATTAAAAAGATATCACACCCCGGTGCATGTAATTAAAGGATGCCACTGAGTGATACCTAAAGACTGGCAGACCTGAAGAACAATGTGATCTAAAAATGTCACATTGAAATTCACTTTCTGCACACAATAACGGTGTTATTACTACTTGTTGCTATTTGTGTGCAGATGAATCCACTGAGATTAAAAATGACATGTATATGCCTCGTTTGGAATTAAGCAGCATTTGGCACGAATGCCTGATAGCTATGTTTAACGTCACTAAGCAATATGTTACGGTCGTAACATCGATCTGACGTAGGTAGGATCTGACGGCAGTATTTTAACAGAGGGCGTGTACACATGCTGTATGTCTGGTGTTCGGCAATCGATGTGTATTACCCTCTGAATGTTGCCATTATGTAATATAGATGCCTGTTATGGAGTAGACTCATGACATGGTCCATTACGCATAAGCGATGTAATAACTAGATACATCTATCCGTATGTGTAGGGCACTGGAGAGGATAATTGAGATATCACATTCAACCCATGCAGTTTGTCTGGACCAGACTCCTTTTTTTACAAGGCGTCATGATATCAATGGAAATTTGCGAAGTGACGTCAAACAACAAACAAACAAATATCAACAGATCATTGCAGGGGACAGAAATATATAAAGTTTCCCGTTTTATTAGTTATGGCATTTCAGACCTATTGTCCATTATTTACTGGTCAAAGGGAACAACTTAGGAGGAAAGCGCAAAATGAGGCATCTCGTATACGTCTATTGCGGTGTTGGAACATACGATCACGAACACGGGGATGATGATGATGATGATGATGATGATGATGATGATGATGATAAACCAAGGATCATAATCAGGGCGAAACTTGGATTCGAACCAACAATCAGCGGTACCTGACAGCTTATGGAAGAAACTTAGCATACAGTGCTGAAGCGATTTACACCAGTGGACCAACGGTCTAGATTGCTTAAGACAAAGGAAAACATTTCCTAATCATTTAAACTTATGTATTTATAATGCGAATATCAAACTTTGAAATAACGAATTGATTTAAGGTCGCTTGGATTTCGGTATACACTTTGATATTTATTGATGAACAGTGAGGTAGCTTAGTAGAGGAAGCACTCGCTCATCATGACGAAGACACGGGTTCAGTTTCCACCAAGTTAGGTTTGTGAAGCCTATTTCGTGATGCCCCAAGCCGTGATAAGACTTGGATACTTCTGAGAGGTGTTAACCCATACTCACTCTCACCCATCATACGGATGCAATATATTCTCACTGTCGTTACATGAATGACCACATTTCGCTTACTTCTGAATTAAATACATCCCTTTATTCATATGTCATGACCCCACGACCTTAATATATGAGAAAATGGGATTCATGAATAAAAGGTACGGTCTAATCATCTAGAGAAGATATATTGAATATGCGAACATCCCGTCATGTACACATAAACGTTATTGGTTCAATATCTGTGCACACACAGCGAACGCAAAAACAGATACAGCACACTCAATCAATGCCAATAAATATTGCAAAGGTATTATTCAGTTTGTTCATGTTTCCATCTGTGTCTTAACTCTTGATACGTATAGTAGAATGTAATGGTGCATTAAGCCTTTGGGTAAAGCACCAATGAGGGAGTGAATGTTGTTTGGTGCCGCAGAGTGCTATGAATATTCCACCAGTGTAACGGTTATTATTCCAGTCTCGATCAGACAAACGGTACCATCACTATCAATATGCTGTGCGTATAGTATTTCCTAAGTATGGACAATTCGTGCACTTCCTCCCGGGTAACTTTTCATAACAACATATAAACGGTTGATTCTTGAGTGAGTGAGTGAGTATGGTTTTACGCCGCTTTTAGCAATATTCTAGCAATATCACGGCGTGGGACACCAGAAATGGGCTTCACACATTGTACCCATGTCGGGAATCGAACCCGGATCTTCGGCTTGACGAGCGAACGCTTTAACCACTAGGCTACCCGACCGCCCCGGCTGATCCTTGACAACGGGGATAGACATGTTTGTTTTTTTCCACTTTGGATGTTTAAGTGTGCCAATACGAGTGCCAACAAGTTTAACTTTATATTTCATTACAAGTAGTGCAAATCTGTATGCACATTTGTGAGTGAGTGTGTGTGTGTGTGTGTGTGTGTGTGTGTGTGTGTGTGACAATACTGTCGTTTTATCTCTGATATCCGTGAATCGTATTTCGCAATGAGCATGATAACAAGCGTGTTTTCACGCCATGCAGGAACTAATCTTAAGCATGCAGTGCTGTTGTGATTTTAACCATCCCATTGGCACTCCAATACAATGCATTTCGAACCCAGGGCACCTTGACAATGTTATACATTCAACAATACGGATACTCAAGTGTAAGCTTGGTTAACTCAACAGACACACCAGGCCCCACTACAGCTGCTGCCGTAAATGTGTTTCTATTCATTGAACGCGTGTGAACGGACTGACCCCGTTCGCCATTCATAACTCACATCAACTCGGTACTGAAGCATAGCGCAGAAACAGCTCAACAGAGTTCACTGACGGAGATCCCGAATCGATACCCACACGAACTACGATTATTCTTACTGTTCACACATTCCCAAGTAGGAATCAATGGCATTGTATTTGTCCTCATATATCTAATATTGATATATCATCCCCATCAAGCCATAAGATAAATTTACAACAACGTGGCATTGAGCTGTGTTATTTTCCCGGTGGTTGTTTGGGCGGCAACCTGTGCATTTGTTGGAAAACGTGGCAATAAACCCTCATAAATATGTCTACCCGACAGCTGCAGGGCTACTATATGTGAAGCGGTAAAGGACAATGGAACGCGCATACAAAAATACCCGAACAAAGGATTTGTGTGTATATGAAAATGTGCCGGGCTGGAGATGAAAGAGAATGATTTATCTGTAATGCATGTCTGGTAATGACTCGTGTCGATGAATATTGAAATGCGACCATCATCAATGTCACATTAGTATAGACCACACTATGGTGGTAAGTAGGATCGGTTGCCAATGAAATCTTCAACTTCGTACACTTCCATGTCAATGTATACCTGTAACATTCGTCAGGACAATAACATGTTAACGGTTCCCGACCGACCCTATTCGGGAGTCCCCACACTAAACCTGTTTGGTTTTTTTCTCTCCAGATGCATTAAGCTTTTATCACTTCCCGGTATTAAATGTCCGTATTTTTGCAACTGCGTAAATGTGTTGCCCTTCAGAATAAAACCAGTAATTTAACGAAACCAAGAACTACTTCCCGGCCCAGTTTTGGATGGTTGAATAGGAAACAAAGTAATAAGAGTGTTTGAAATGCATTGATTATTCCTTCAATAACGAACTGTCAACTTTGTCTTTTCTTACCTATCCAGCACCAGTTCCTCGAGTTGTCCAAGGTCACATGCGATGTATTCGAGCGATGCGTCCGTTATCCGGGGACACCACGAAATGTCGAGAACGCGTAACTTACGAAGGTTCTCCGCAATAAGTTCCACACCATCGTCAGTGATCTTGCTGCACCCTGAAAGACTTAGGACGGTCAGATTGGGTAAGGAATGCACAATATTTACAATTCCATGGTTGGTGATTTCCCAGCATGACTGTAGTTTGAGGATACACAACGTATAACTCTGCTTCGCACTGAAAAAGGCCAATGCTGCGTCTGTCACGTGATAGGCCTGGATGGTCAGTTCGTAGAGGGATGGTAGAAGCTGGGAAATGGCGCCAATTGTGTCGTCTGCTACGTTGATACAATCACTAATACTAAGGGACACTATCTTAGGGTTGAGTGAAGACCATAAACCGGTTTCCGTAATCTCATTACACCCGGAAATTTCAACCCGATAAATACACGGCATCTTTTTAAACAGGACCTCCAAACCTGCGTCTGTGACATTGGCACAGCGAACGCTTATTGACCTAAGATGCTTCTTACTGGGGGGGAAATTGTTCACAAAATCCGAAATGTCTTCGTCGGTGGCGCCGAACAAACACACAGCATCGAACCCTCTTTGGTGAAGGCTGTCGTACACCTGTTTCCTGACCACCATATCCTTTGTCCAGTCACGGTAGGATATGATTGGCATGACCTCTGCCCAATACTTCGTGTTATAAAGGATATGCTTCCAACGTCTACACACGCGTGACAACACACCTCTTTCCTCGGCAGAAAAGTAAAAGAAAAATTTGGACAAAAACGACTCATCCATGAACAAATCCTGGATAGTTTTATGTGCAGCTTTTCCGCTCATAGTCCGAATTCGTTTCACAAATCCGGCTTTGGGTGAACGCGTCAACCTGACGTTATTGAGCGGAGAGCCATTGGTGGCTCGGTGTAGAGTCTCTTTAAGGGAAGACCCTCCGCCTTGGGACGACTGTTCGCGGTGGAGGCGGAGGCCCCGAATACCATTTGATATCTCCATGTATGCCCGGCGAATTGTAGACATGACACCAAACCAAGAGCCGTCCTGACGCGCGCTTCCAATACCTGACACGCGCTGCACGTGTCGTTACATAGGTGCCCTTCTTTCAGCTAGATACATTTAAATACTGCACCATGTCCACGCAAGCTTCTCTCATTGGCTACTGCTGCTGTTCAGTGCTGCTTGTATTCGCGGCGAGAGAGATGACTGAGAAACCGCTCTTTCACAAGTTCCTGTGGTCAAAATGAATTCACAGTTATCTCAAGAACACCACTCCTTCAATTCTTTACATCTAGTTTTCCCAGAAGCTGTGGTAGGTGCGATAACTTGGGAAAGCAAGAGCAGACGACCATCCCGCGCGACAAGTCAGGCAGGACTGGCTGCTGAGGGAAAAGCTGCCTGTCGATACTAGGCCCGTTTAGATCGATACTCGGGGCTGATGTTGCTACCAGTCAGATCGTGCCAACAGTGAACGCCTGTCTTTGACCCATGTTATCCCTGTGACGTAGCCACTTTAACCTGCTCATGCTGGGAGGGTGGGTAAGGGGTATCGATTTTTTCGATCAGGGTCGGGTTTAACTTAATCATACATTCATCTTTGTCATGTGTATTCTAAACACCGGGTTCATTACAGGGGGAACATCTGTAGAACGTGTCTTGGGGGTGGGCAGGCGTGTCGGTGCTGACCAATATCTCTTGATGAAGTAGTGGAGATTTTAATTGCAAAGACGTAAACGTGATCTGAATACATTAAAGATTGGCTTCAGTACATGTGTGGTAATTGCTTTCACGGTTACACATCCTCAATAATCAATCACATCAAATTCGATCTACTGTTATTCGAAGAATATGGACTTTCATGTATTCATTTTTTATATTTCATTTCTATATCATATTTGTTTTGAAGAGATAGATTAAGAGTAACTTGACCTTTATTTTATAAATTTATAATCAATACTTTCCAGAAAAATACTTTTCAAAACAATTTAACCTTCATATGGAAACCAACTGGTGTTTAAAAAGAAAGATGTTTTATGACGTCGAACATGATCTACAAGCGCTGGCGACACAAACAACTGGCAAGCGATGCCATAACCAGAGGGTTGTACGACGCTTCAAACAGTATTTCTCACATACCATTTTTCCATTCGCCCGAGACAGAAACATCTTTACCCAGATAAAACATGTTGAGGTCAGCACAAACCACCATCCCTCACCCAGACCCCCCTGCTCACTTCCCTGCCCCCCTCACCAAAGCGTTGATAGCTGCTCCTCTACAGCCCAATGTAGGAACACGCTCTGTCGGCTCACATGCTGTTGGTTTAATGCATCATTTCACCAGTGTTTGGCAGAAATGTGAAAAGCGTGAATTACGAGGCATATGGGTCTTTGGCGAACCGACGCAGAACTTTAGTAATTGACTGGAATCTATTGGTACTTCCTATGTTGGCGCGTTTCGGTGTAGCGATATTAAGCTGGGACATGCTGAGAGAGCACTGGAGTCAAATATAGAAAACGCACCTTTTGGAGGAAAAAGTAATTGACTCTCTCCCGGTGCATTGGCGCAAATTAACTTTGTGCAGACTTGTGTGTGTTTTATTGGCCCCTGTTACCATGAAATTACTATCGTGTTGATTATATCTGTTGTTGGATAATACAACCAACTTATCTATATCTTGACACACATATATGTGTTTAGGGATATGTGGACGGATGCGCCTTTGTTGGTATCTTTCAAATATAAAACGTCAACACCAGAGAATACCCAGTCTCGATTATCTGGCGAAACAGATTCCGTTGCGCGTAAAAGGCGAAATAGTGGTGAAAATCATATGAATGGATCGGGAAACGGGAGATTACAAAATCGTCTAAAAAAAGAAGGTGTTTGTTTATTGGGTTTTTTTAAATTGTGAATGAATTGGTTTTTAAACAAAGTTCCACTTATTCTTCGGGACGAATGAAATTTCAAACGAATGTGTTTGAACACCTAAATCAGTCTAAATTTATGAAAAAAGGAAAATACAGATACTATAGATTATTTATTCGAATTAAATTTTATAAGGAGACACTTTTTCTTTAAGATAATCAAAATTATTGACTTTTTTTAATAGCTTGACATTAATCCTCAGTCAGTTCTTCAAACATGGTTTAGTATATCGTATCTAAAAGTCTAACGAGTTATCGATTTGATTATAAGGATCACACAACTCTTCACTTTGATGCAGAATTGCTTATTGAAGCATACTCATCTAATTATCTTGTTTTTAGAAATGTCAATACCATTCTATAGGTCGAAAAATACAACACGTGTGACTTTAGAACAAAAGGAATAGTTCAAATTAAATTAAATTATTTATTAAAACTTGTAATGTATTTCGAGAACCAAGAGAGCGAGTGTTTCGGCCTGATTATGATTCTAGACCAGACAGAGCCATGTTCGAGCTTGGGGGTTTCACCAAAGTTTGTTTGTTTGTTTAACGCCGCACTCAGCAATATTCCAGCTATTTGACGGCGGTCTGTAAATAATCGAGTCTGGACCAGACAATCCAGTGATTGACATCATTAGCATCGATCCACGCAACTGGGATACGATGACATGCATCAACCAAGTCAGCGAGCCTGACCACCCGATCCCATTAGTCGCCTCTTACGAAAAGCATAGTCCCTTTTACGGCAAGTATGGGTTGCTAAAGATCTATTCTACCCCGAATCGTCACGGGTCTTCACCAAAGATGTAAACGACAAAGACTTGAATCACGTCGAGCTTTCCTCCCACATCAAGCTGACACGCCGTAATATAAATGAAATAATGTTCAAAACGGCATTAAACCCAACTCACCCACTCACTCACTCACTCCAACCTGAAAGGAGGCTGTGGAAAGCCTAGTGGTTACAGCATTCGCTCGTCACGCCGAAGTCCCCGGTTCGATTTCCCACATAGGTACATAGTGTGAAGCTCAGTTCTGTTGTCCCCTGTCGTGATATTGCTGGAATTGCTAAAAAGGGCGTAAACCTGAACTCACTCACTCACTCCAAACCCGAAAGAGGTTTTTTTATTACTGACGTAATAGCAGACTCCGTGAAATTGCAACGTTGTCCAAGAAATCAGGTTTCCAAGGTAACAGCTTCCATGACATGGAACCATGGCTGATCAGGCTGGATGTAAAGGTGACAATGATGTGTTTACTTCCAATACGTGGCTGTCGCTCAGCTTCAGCTATCTCACGCCCTGTCACTGTCAGCAATCCATATCCCACATATGTCAATGGATATTTTGAAGTCGTGATGGTATTTGCAGATATATGTCTGGGCAAGTGGGTAGTAATATTTTGTTGTGTATTGATTATTGTAATGTTCTTTTGCTCGTTGAAACGAATGTTACACTTAAACACACATACGAATGTCCGTGTCTATGTGCACATTAACATTTGTGTCGACTCCAATCCTCCCCCCCCCCCCCCCCCCTCCCCCATCCCTATACACACAGACAACCACAGTGAGAGCCACACACATAACTACAGCCATCCATTACTAAAGACAAACGTCAGAACCACAATCATAGCCATAGCCACAATTAGAGCCACAGCCACAGCAATATCTGCAGTTACAGCTGTAACTTGAATCATTAGACACTGTAACAGCTGTAACATGAATCATTAGATATATAAACAGCTGTAACTTGGATCATTATACAATTACAGCTGTAACGTAAATCATTAGACAGTTACAGCTGTAACTTGAATAATTATACACAGTTACAGATGTAACTTAAATCAATAGACACAATTACAGCTGTACCTTAAATCATTAGCCAGTTACAGCTGTGACTTGAATCATTAGACATAGTTACAGCACAATGTGAATCATTAGACATAGTTACAGCTGTAACTTGAATCATTAAACACAGTAACAGCAGTAGCTACATCAACAGTTTTGATGTTAGTTTTATTTCTGTAAAGATCCGTGATTTTTTGACAATGGGTGCTGGGATTTTCCATCAAGACACAGTATTTTCAACACACGAAAAAAACATCTTTATTACCTCATAACGCAACAGTATTTTTTTTCTATGTACTTCATTTATGGACCAAAGGTACATTGTTATATGGCAGTGTAATTTATTGTTAAACAATGTGGTAATTGTATAACATTGTTTTTTGTTGAGAGTATTCAAGTATTGTGTTCAAAGTATTGTGTTTTGACAATGATTAGTTGTCAGGAATGTAGTACTTTCTAATGTATCAATGGTGTGGAAATTACTATATATATGCTTTTGGAGCAAAGTGTAATCTAGAATGTTCTAGAACAGCTAGACTAATCCAGAACTGTACAGAAGTTTCTAAAAGATATTTAGACAATATAAGGGGCGTACCTCTCGCACCTAACATGACATCTTAAATTAGATCAAAACCAGCAGTTGTGTGGAGATAATTATTTTCACCCTGTATATCCAGCCTATGCCTAAATTGGATGCTTGATCACTGTTGCTGCCAGGTGAGTATTATTGCCGCTGCTATCATATTTATACTGCCATTGTAATTGTACTGCCATTTAATTTTGTACTCCCACTCTATTGTGTACTTTCATTGTAATTGCTATGCAGTAATTTGTATTGACATGTAAACCTAGTTCATTTTATAATACAATTGTAAAATTGCATACCATTTCATTATTGTTTGTTGGTTTCACACTGAATTCTTTTATGTAAAGATTTATTTTACTTATTGTTTTAAGTCGCCACGTAACAACATGTGTACTTAACTTTCATTGCCACATGATGTTTTTAAGATATATTTACATTCCTCTCCCATCCCCTTCTCTCACACCATAAGTAACATCCGCCATTCCATTTAATCCGCACCCCACTCCTTTCCCCTACCCACATCATCGCCACAACCACTTGGATAAAAAGTCGTGTAAATAGTTTGTGACCAACCAAGGGTGAGGTTTCCGTATGTGCATATGTGTTAAAAAGTCAGATGTGCTTGTATACATGCGTATGATATGTGTGTTTATACGCTTGTATTTACATCATTATGACGGAGTGCAATTAACCAGATGTGCAAGGGAAGATGGAAGTCGCACAGGGCACTTAACGCCGGAGAAGTCTGGCAAATATCCATGTTTATAACATTTACAGAAAGTGAAAACAAACTCTTATGATTTAATATAAAGCTGTGAATTTTACACGAATTTAGCCTATGCGGATAAGTTTGTTTCTGATCTCAAATATCCCTACAACCCCTTCGTTAAATGGCTTTTACCTAGTTCTTATACAAAATGTGTTCCGAGGCATTTTGAAGAATCTTCATTAAAACTGCCCTGAACAGAACCCATTACCACCCAAAAATGAGTTAAAAGCCGG